GGCAAATGTGCCTCTGGAAGGTGGCACATGTCAACCCAGAGCTGGCTGGAGTGCAGGCTTTATGCAGTCCAGGAGAGAGGTGTTCCCCAAACACGGCACCTTCCAAGGGTTGATCATGCCTGTTGTGGTTCCACCGTGGTGACGAGCATTTGAGCTGGAGTGTGATGGCAAGGTGAAGGGCCTTTTCCAGCCGGAGGCTGTCACACGTGCACATCTCCAGCATCCTCTTCCAGCATCACTCTTCCCCTCCTGTGCTTCCCAGCCATCTTCATGGGGCTGGGAGGTTGCAGCCACACGCCATGATGCTTCTTGGTGCCCCAAAGGCCACGTTCAATCACATTGAGCTATAGAACAAGTTGCCGGAGATCCCTGAGGAAATGCAACATTTCCCTATACCAGCGTCAGCTTGCCCCTTACCTCCACCACTGCTGCTGCGGTGCGGCGGGTCTGCTCCCTGGGCTGGCCGGCCAGCTGGGGAGAGCCCTCAGGATGGAGAAGATAGCCTTCGGGAAAGAGGAGAAGAGCCACAGGAATCCTTGGACTTGCCCCCATGGGCCGCCACCAGGGCTCACCGCTGGTAGAGGGTCATGATCCCTGCCCGGTGCAGGCTCCTCCACAGCGCCGCCTCCAGCATCATGTCGTGGTTGGCATAAAACACCAGCGGCTTCTTCTCCAGCTCGTAGTAGTGGTCTGAGAACTGCTCGTAGTTGGCCGTGATGAACCCATAGGCACTGACCTGCGGGGAGGGAGGTGGGACAGACGGACAAAGGTTGGGGTTAGGGCTCAGCCTAAGGTGCTCCATGCGCCACCGCCACCCCACTGGGACAGGGGCTGGCACGTGTAGGATGGCCACCGGGACACGCTGGTCCCCAGCAGGAGCCTTACAGCAGCTAGTCACAGGTGCCCAGCAGCCAAAGGGGGGTCCCCTGGTCGCCAGGGGAAGGTGGCCCCGTGGCCTTTTACCTGGTCGCAGGTGTGGAGCGCGGTGAGGAGCATGAGGGCGCCGGTGCTGGGCATGTAGAGCGAGCCGTACTGCGTGTTCAGGAGCTCCGACCGCAGGAACCTGCCGCGGACACGGCATGTCGGCAGGGCTCACCACTGGCACAGCACCACGGCCCCCGGCACCAGACCCAGCAGCACCCAGTGCCCGTCCAGCCCCCACCATGCACTCGGTGACGCCGGTGCTCAGTAAGGTAGGAGCACAGAGTGAAACAGAGGGCTTGTGTAGATTCTCTGATGGCTACTATTAAGGTTCAGCTCATTTACTGCAGATTGCTGAAAGGCACCTCCCTGCAGTTTGAAATCACCCCAACCCAGGCTCCTGCTTTCATGAAAGGCACAAAAAGTCAATCCCTTGGGGCCCTACCTCTGCTCCTGTTAGGCTAGTCCAAAATACAATTTATTTGGGGAAATGGGCGGAAGGAGAGGACGGGGAGGCTGTAGGAGGGGATGTGAGCCGTGCTGCAGTGAATGGGAATGGCAGGGGAGAGATGCCTCTGCCTTGTCTGCAGAGAGCAGGACCGAGGTGGTTCTAGTGCCTGGGGAGGGCTGGGACTGCGCTTTGATGCTGGGCAGCCACTGGTCTGTACTGGAGAGGGCAGTGGGGGGAGGCAGGCGGTCTGACCCCAGCCCGGAGTGCAGCTGCACAGCAGCCGTGGCCCTCGTCATCCTCACCTCGCTGTCAGGTACTGCAAGAAATCGGGATGCAGCAGCTTGAACTTCTCTGCAGATGCCTCCGGTCCAAAATACTTCTGCGGCCTGCGGCGGGGCAAGGAGAAGGGCAGAATGCACGTCACGGGAGTCCTGGGGCTACTTGGGCTTTATCCCACCAGGGACAGATGTGGGGTGAGGGCAGGCAAGTCGTGCTCCCTCCGGTGCGTCACCGAAGGTGCTGGGGGGATCTTAAGGGGGCTACTCACTGGTCCCCCTTGTCCGAGCCCTCGGGGACCGGGCTGCCCTGGATGGCCGACTTCAGCATGACGTAGTCACGGATGTCAGAGGGGATGAAGATATACCTCAGGTCCTGCAGCGGGG